CTTCCAGTCCGGACACTTTCCCCCACTTCCAGTCCGGACACTTTCCCCCCTTCCAGTCCGGACACTTTCACCCCCTTCCAGTCCGGACACTTTCACCCCCTTCCAGTCCGGACACTTTCCCCCCCTTCCAGTCCGGACACTTTCCCCCCCTTCCTGTCCGGACACTTTCCCCCCCTTCCTGTCCGGACACTTTCCCCCCCTTCCTGTCCGGACACTTTCCCCCCCTTCCAGTCCGGACACTTTCCCCCCCTTCCTGTCCGGACACTTTCACCCCCTTCCAGTCGGGACACTTTCCCCCCCTTCCTGTCCGGACACTTTCCCCCCCTTCCTGTCCGGACACTTTCCCCCCCTTCCAGTCCGGACACTTTCCCCCCCTTCCTGTCCGGACACTTCCCCCCCTTCCAGTCCGGACACTTTCCCCCCCTTCCAGTCCGGACACTTTCACCCCCTTCCTGTCCGGACACTTTCCCCCCCTTCCAGTTCGGACACTTTCCCCCCTTTCCAGTTCGGACACTTTCCCCCCCTTCCAGTTCGGACACTTTCCCCCCCTTCCAGTTCGGACACTTTCCCCCCCTTCCAGTTCGGACACTTTCCCCCCCTTCCAGTTCGGACACTTTCCCCCCCTTCCAGTCCGGACACTTTCCCCCCCCTTCCAGTCCGGACACTTCCCCCCCCTTCCAGTCCGGACACTTCCCCCCCCTTCCAGTCTGGACACTTTCCCCTTCCAGTCCAGGCCAATTTTCAGCTTTCAGCGCGATCACACTTTTAATGGAAATTGCGCGGTCATGCAACACTGTACCCATATGAAATTTTTAGCGTTTTTTGAGACAGATAAAGCTTTATTCTGGTGATATTTATTCACCACTGGGATTTTTATTTTTTTGCTATATAAATCAAAAAGTCCAAACATCTTGAAAAAAAAATTGTTTTTCTTATAAAATTTTGCAAATAAATAAATTTTCTTCATAAATCGTGGCCAAAATGTATTCATCTATCTTTTTAGTAAAAAAAATAACCCAAATTAGTTTATAACCAAAAATTATAATTTTTCAAAATGTTTTTTACTTTTGTATTTTTTTTTTATATTATTATTTATGTTTTTTTTTTAACATACTGTCACCCTAGCAGTACAGTGTCACCATAGTGGGTTAATTGGTCGGCCGTTTTTTCTGGCTTTTTGCACATTTTTTTTATCGGGCATGTTGGAAAATTTGCGGCCGATTTTCCCGGCAATGATTTCCTGTTACCGACTCGGCTTGCTCTTGGACCTGTCTACTCTGCCTTACCTCTGATCTGACCTCGGCCTGGCTTACGGATACTCTCTCTCTCTCGCTCCTCTGTGTATGACCTCGGCTATCCCATCTGACTACGTCTGCTCTGATTCCCACCTGGTACCTGACCTTGGCTTGAACCGACTACCCAGTAAACATCTAAATCCCGGAAGGGTTTGCATACCACGCACAGGCGCCTCCAGTCTGCAGACCTATCTCTGTGCACCAGCTGTGCTTCTCAGTGGACCACCAACCAGCACTCCTACAGGCGACCTGTGTCACTGTGGGCCTGACTCCCGTTGTCCCACTCTCAGGGGAGTCCGGAACTTAGCCGCAAGGGAAGCCCTCTCTCCATTGGCCTCCATCACCAGGTACGTGATACAGGGACTCTTCCAAGAGCTGGTCGCCCAGCCAAACCGAGCAATCGGGGGAGAAGGGCCTTATAAGAGAGGTGACCAAGACCGGTTGGTCACTCTGACTGAGCTCCTGAATGGAGATGGGACAAAGTTACAGAAGGACGACCATCACTGCAGCTCTCCACCAATCTGGGCTTTATGGCTGAGTGGCTAGATGGAAGCCTCCCCTCAATGCAAAACACATGAAAGCCCACTTGGAGTTTGCAAACATAAAAGTACCTGAAGGACTCTCAGAAAGTGAGGAACAAGATTCAATTCTAAATGTTATGTCTGGAGGAAACCAGGCACCGCTCATCACCTGCCCAATACCATCCCAACAGTGAAGTATGGTGGTGGCATAATTCTCTGGGGGTGTTTTTCAGCAGCAGCGACTGGGAAACTGGTCAGGGTTGAGGGAAAAATGAATGGAGCAAAGTACAGAGATATCCTCAATAAAAACCTGTTCCACAATGCTCAGGACCTCAGACTGGCCAAAAGTTTCACCGTCCAACATGACAATGATCCTAAGCACACAGTCAAGACAACACAGGAGTGGCTTAGAGACAATGTCCTAGAGTGGCCCAACCGGAGCTCTGAATTGAACCCCACTGAACATCTCTGGAGAGACCTGGACATGGCTGTCCACCGATGGTTCCCATCCAACCAGACTGAGCATGAGAGGATTTGGAAAGAAGAAGGCAGCAAATCCCGCAATTCAGGTGTGCAAAGCTTTTGGCGTCATCCCCAAAAAGACTCGAGGCTGGAATTGCTGCCAAAGGTGCTTCAACAAAGTAAACGGTCTGAATACGTAAAGTGGTTGTAAAGGCTGAAGGCTTTTTTACCTTCATGTATTCTATGTATGAAGGTAAAAAACCTTCTGTGTGCAGCAGTGCCCCCAGCCCCTTCAATACTTACCTGAGCCTTAACGCGATCCAGCGATGTGAATGACAGCCTCGGCTGTCCCGGGTCTCTGCCTCCTCATTGGCTGAGACAGCAAGCGGAAGCCATTGTCAGTGTCAGTCACCCAATGAGGAGAGAGCGGGGGTGGGGTCAAGCCGCGGCTCCATGTATGAATGGACACATGGAGCAGTGGGTGCCCCTATAGCAAGTTGCTTGCTGTGAGGACACCCAACAGAAAGGAGAAGCCAGGAGAACCTGCGAGGGACCTGAGAAGAGGAGGATCCAGGCTGCTCTGTGCAAAACCACCACACACAGCAGGTAGGTATAGACACATTTGTTATTTTATAAAAAATTTTAAAAAATTAACCTTTAGAACCGCTTTAAGTACATTTGACATTTCAGTTTTTTCTTTTAAATAAATTAACAGACATTTCTAAATATCTGTTTTTGCAGGCTCTCCTAGCTCCTCCTTTCTGTCGGGTGCCCCCATAGCAAGAAGCTTGCTGTGGAGGCACCCGACAGAAAGGAGGAGCCAGGAGAGCCTGTGGGGGAACCCGAGAAGAGGATGATCCAGGCTGCTCTGTGCAAAACCACTGCACACAGCAGGTAGGTATAGACACGTTTGTTATTTTATAAAAAAATTTAAAAAATTAACCTTTAGAACCGCTTTAAGTACATTTGACATTTCAGTTTTTTCTTTTAAATAAATTCACAGACATTTCTAAAATTCTGTTTTCGTTTTGTCATTATGGGGTACAGAGTGTAGATTCGTGAGAAAAAAAATTGACTTTGAACAACTATTTATAGGTAAAGTTGATCCAGGGAATATCCGATCGCCTCTCGGGGGAGCAGGAAAGAATTTTTTCCCCTGCAGGAGCAAATTGAGTCGTGTTTTGCTGGGGTTTTTTTTGCCTTCCTCTGGATCAACTGTGGGTGTAGGATTAGAACTTTTTTATTTTTTTAATGGTTGAACTGGATGGACTTTTGTCTTTTTTCAGCCAGACTAACTATGTAACTATGTAACAACAGTAGTATCAGGCTGCAACATAACAACACTGAAAAAAGTGAAGGAGGTCTGAATACTTCATGAATGCACTGTATCATTGTGTTGGGGGGGGGGGGGGGGGGCTTTACAAAGTCTTCAGGCCTACAATTATTTTTTAAATGTGTGCAGAAAAGAAAATGCAAAAAAAGGAAAGGAAAATGAACATAAGGAAATGAAATGCAATGAAAATAATGAAATGAAAGGAAATGAAAATAAGCTTTAAAGGGTTAATAGGAATTGGATCTCCATTGTAAAGGGACCCTCTGTTCAGAATTACGCCAATCACAAAATGACACGATGCGGAATATTCTTCGATCTCTTTAAATACATACACATTTTATATTATATTGTGCATCGAAATAAACATTCCTCTTTTTTTATAGATATATATATATATCCTTATCAAATATTGTTTTCTTTTATACAAGCACAGATACAAATAAACTTCTTTTGAAATAAATCTTTGTAGTCTTTGCATTCCTGAATGTGCATTCCCAAAAGGGGGGGTTATATAGTTTCAGTCCAGGTATATATATAAAAAAAAAAAAAAAAAGAGACAAAAAAAAAAAAAAAAAAAAAAAAAAAAAGAGAGAGCTTTGTACTTTATGACCTCAGAGCGCCGAATACGAATAATGAGCATCGTCCAAATCCCATTTCATATCAGCCACTTAGAAACCGCCTTTAAAAAAATTAAGTGTCCCCTCGACTTTCTTAAAATAATGTTGATTTTTAAAAAAAAAAAAAAAAAGAAAAAAAAAAAAGAATTTGCCGCCAGCTATGCTTCCTCGGCTTCCAAGACTTCCAAGACCATGAAGATGGATCATCTCGCTTTGTGCTCTATAGATTTGGAATAAAGTTCGTTTTTGACCCATAAAAGGTCTGTGCTCCATAGCAATACAGTCACAAAGATTTCATCTGTACACATATATTACTATCTCTGTATGAAATGTTTTTTTTTTTTTTTTTTTTCCTCTGTACATTATGGTACGGCAATACGAAACATCTTTTTTTGTCCGCGTCCTTCGGGTGGCCGTATAGAATAATTTGGACGTTTCGGTAAAGCCGTTTTGTTTTCTTCTGTATATTTCGGAAAATACCTGTATGAAAGTTTTTACACTATACAAAATAAAGCAGCATCTCTTGACACCTCTCCGGAAGACGCTAACCTCGACGCAACGTTTTCGGGGTCGCCTACGACCTGGCGCTTGGTTTCCCCCCGGCAAAAGTAAGGGTTAAGCATCCTTTACATTCGGATAAAAGTGAGGTCCGCCTGGCACGTGCAGCGGAAAAGGAACGGTGTCGGTTTTCCCGCAGAGTCTCAGGAACGGTCGTCTCGCTAGTTGGACAACGAAGGTTTTATCTGGATCTACGAGCTACGGGGAGCACCAGTCAAAAGTTGTCCTGACACATTGGCAAGTTGATGAAGGTGAAGACGTTGTATTCGATGAGGACGGAGAAACACAGGAAGATGACGTACAGGATGAGCACGTAGCATCCCAGCCTCTTGTCCAGTTTCCAATTGTTGACGTGCACCCCGATGACCTGAAATGGGAAAGTGGAATGTTTGTCATGGAGGACATTCAATGTTAGGCTTAAAAAGGTTATTTTGTTAGCGCCCACCCCCTCCCCCCGACTAAATGATACACCACACACTCCATTTGTCAGAGTCCTTGGAAATACTTTGTACTTCCCAGTATGGGGGAGCATGTGACCTCATTTCCAATATGGAAGAGCATGTGACCAGAATGGGGGAGTATGTGGCCTCCTTCCTGGCATAGGGGAGCATGTGACCAGTATGGGGGAGCGCCCACCCCCTTCCCCCAACTAAAAGATACACCACACGCTCCATCTGTCATAGGCCTTGGAAATACCTTGTACTTCCCAGTATAGGGCAGCTTGTGACCTCCTTCCCAGTATGGGGGAGCATGTGACCAGTATGGGGGAGCATGTGGCCTCCTTCCAAGTATAAGGGAGCATGTGACCAGTATGGGGGAGCACCCACCCCCTTCCCCCAACTAAAAGATACACCACACGCTCCATCTGTCATAGGCCTTGGAAATACCTTGTACTTCCCAGTATAGGGTAGCATGTGACCTCCTTCCCAGTATGGAGGAGCATGTGACCAGTATGGGGGAGCATGTGACCTCCTCCCTGGTACGGGGGGAGCATGTGATCAGTATGGGGGAGCATGTAACCTCCTTCTTGGCATGGAGTAGCATGTGACCAATTTGGGGGGAAGCATGTGACGTTCTTCCCAGTATGGGGGACACGCTCCATCTGTCATAGGCCTTGGAAATACCTTGTACTTCCCAGTATAGGGCAGCTTTTGACCTCCTTCCCAGTATGGGGGAGCATGTGACCAGTATGGGGGAGCATGTGGCCTCCTTCCAAGTATAAGGGAGCATGTGACCAGTATGGGGGAGCACCCACCCCCTTCCCCCAACTAAAAGATACACCACACGCTCCATCTGTCATAGGCCTTGGAAATACCTTGTACTTCCCAGTATAGGGTAGCATGTGACCTCCTTCCCAGTATGGAGGAGCATGTGACCAGTATGGGGGAGCATGTGACCTCCTCCCTGGTACGGGGGAGCATGTGATCAGTATGGGGGAGCATGTAACCTCCTTCTTGGTATGGAGGAGCATGTGACCAATTTGGGGGGAAGCATGTGACATTCTTCCCAGTATGGGGGAGCATGTGCCCAACAGACAAAACCGAGGAGCCAGGGGAGTGTGGCAAAGGTGAGTATCAGTGGTCGGCTAGTAGAGCACCTTCCAACATATTCTGATTCCTGTGAAGTTCTACAGGAAATGACTGATCTTATTTTGAGCTACATTTTAGCTAAGGCTGACTAAATGATTGCTTTGCTATATATTTTTCTGCAAAACTTCACTCATGTGATGAGCTGATCTGCATATTAGAAAAAAAGAATACTTGCCAAAATCTAATAAGTATTGGACTTCATTTACCAAGTTTTCTGATGGCTATTCTGAATATTAAAATTTTGCATAGCAGCATTGTGCAGTATACTATCTGGCCAGCAGTGGGCTCTCTGGGCTTCTTTACTCGTTTTCAGCCATCTCATCTTTTAGCTGTGCTGAAAGAAGCTCCTTGTTTACAGAACTCAGTGATTCCTCCCAGCAATGACTCTTCCCTTATCACAGGGCTCAATGGGAGGTTTCAGTCAAACAAAGAGAGCTGCACATAAAGCTACGCTGCTGGGCTGCCTCTTTAGTGAAAGTGGTTGTAAAGGCTTGTTTTATTTTTTTCTGATACAACAAATATGTATTTGTCACAGTGCAGCCCCGAACTTCTATTTTGGGGTCCCCCACCTGTGCCACCTGCTCCTCCTTTTCTGTGTCTTGACCATAGCTAACCGCTTGGACACTGCTGGGACACACACAGCACTGCTTGGTCCCTCCCACCGCTCCCTCCTCACTGGATTTGATTGACAGCAGAAGGGGCCAATGGCTCCCACTGCTGCCTCTGTGTTATGCGAGGACAGGGCCACTGCAGTACATAAGTACGAGCAATCAACTGATTACTGGGTTGGCATTGATAGATTACAAGACCCATTCCATCTGACTTTTGATAGTGAAGGTAAACACAGGAGAACCACCATTTGAAAGAAACAGATCAGATTTGCTCCATCTAGGCAATGTGCCTAAAATCCATTTATTCAGAATTGCTTCACTTCATCAAAGCAAAGCTCAATATTTCAGCAAAACAATTGGAAGCGAGAGATCCTGGTAATAGTCAACACTTACTGTAAGGGCCACAGATCCCAGCAAAAGTATTACTGAGTAGACAATTCCTTTGCTGTTTATCCTCACCTGTAACAAAGAAGCCACAAGTGAAGTTTCACTAATACGTTTGATCTGGAGGATGAGGGGCTAGGTTTGGTTTGGGAGTTGGGGGCAAGACTAGGCGGAATTTTTGGTGTGGGTAAGACTACGTTTGGTTTGGAGCACTTAGTTTGGGGTAGAAGCAGGGCTACACTTGGTTTGGGGTGGGGGCAGGGTTACACTTGGTTTGGGGTGGGAGCAGGGCTACATTTGGTTTGGGGAGGGGGCAGGGCTACATTTGGTTTGGGGGAGGGGGCAGGGCTACATTTAGTTTGGGGTAGGGGCAGGGCTACATTTGGTTTGGGGAGGGGGCAGGGCTACACTTGGTTTGGGGTAGAAGCAGGGCTACACTTGGTTTGGGGTGGGGGCAGGGCTACATTTGGTTTGGGGAGGGGGCAGGGCTACATTTGGTTTGGGGTAGGGGCAGGGCTACATTTGGTTTGGGGTGGGGGCAGGGCTACATTTGGTTTGGGGTGGGGACAGGGCTACATTTGGTTTGGGAAAGAGGGCTAGGTTTGGCTTATGGGAGAGGACAAGATTATGTTTGGTTTGGGGGTGAGGGCAGGGCTAGGTTTGGTTGGATGAGTGGTGAAGCTAGGTACAATTTGGAGGAGGGTAACGCTAGGTTTGGTTTGGGAATAGCAGTAGAGCTAAGCTTGGTTTAGGCTAGGGGTAATATCTAGGCTTAGGTTTGAGAAGGGTCAGTTCAGGAATAGGGTAGGGATAGGTGTGGTTTGGGTTGGTACAAAGGTAAATTTGGGGAAGAGGATAGGGTTACATTAGGTTGGGGATAGGGCAAAAGGGGTGAGACCAGGGTAAGCTTGTCATGGGGGAAAAGCAAAGCTAGGTTTAGTTTGGAGGGAAGCAGTGCAAAGTTCGGTTTAGGGCCGGGCCAAGGTGAGGTATGGTTTAGGGGGCAAGGCTTGGAACTTTGTGAAGCAAAAAAAAAAGAAGAAGAATGAGATAAAGTACAAAGAAAAGGATGAGAAAAAAAAAGAACAAAGAGGACAAAGATGGATGAGGAGAACAAAGAATGATAAGGAGAAGGACAACGAGAAGGATGAGGAGGAGGAGGATAATGAGAAGGAGGACAAAAGGAAGGATGGCAACAAGAAGGATAAGGAGGAGGACAAGGGAAAAGGTGAGTTATGGGGAGGGGGCAAGGCTTGGAACTTTGTGAAGCAAAAAAAAAAAAACCTGAAGAGTGAGATAAAGTACGAGAACCAGGACAAAGAAAAAGATGAAAAAAAAAGGAGGATAAGGAGAAAGTAAGTAAGAGGACAAAAGGAAGGAGAAGGATGGCAACAAGAAGGATAAGGAGGAGGACAAGGGAAAAGGTGAGTTATCGGGGAGGGGGAAAGGCTTGGAACTTTGTCAAGCAAAAAAAAAAACCCAAAAAACAAAGAATGAGATAAAATACAAGAACCAGGATAAAGAAAAGGATGAAAAAAAAAAAAAAAGAACAGGGAGATGAAGGAGAAGGAGGACAAGGAGAAGCATGAATAAGAGGACAAAGATGGATGAGGAGGAGAACAAAGAATGATAAGGAGAAGAACAACAGGAAGGATGAGGAGGAGGAGGACAAGGAGGAGGTTAAGGAGGAGGACAAAAGGAAGGAGAAGGATGGCAACAAGAAGGATAAGGAGGAGGACAAAGGGAAGGATGAGGAGGAGAACAAGGGGAAAAAATGAAGAAGATGAGAAGGATGAGGAAGAGAACAAGGGGAAGGATAAGAACAAGTAGAAGATAAGGTAGAGGACAAAACAAAGGGAATGATGAGCAGAAGGACAAGAAAATTGAGGACAAGGAGAAGGAGAAGAAGAAGGATAATGAGGATAAGGATGAGGAGGAGACAAGGAGAAGACCAGGAGGAAGAGAAATGGAAAAGTATGAGAAAGAGGATGAGGAATATGTTTCAGCTGATACGTTAAAGGCCAAATCTATATAATAATCACATAAAATTTAATGACTTATGTAACAACAGGACTTACCGTGGATCCATAGTGAATCACCATAGTCTGCAGACCCCAAGGCACCCCAAGTCCCACCAGAATGTCAAAGACGTTACTTCCTATTGTATTGGACACGGCCATATCTCCAAGACCTGAAAAGAAGACAGGTCACTGCATACTACGCATACATACAGCTACAGTGACATACCGGCAACCGTGTAACACATTTTAATATGTACTTTTTTTTTTAACTATTCAAAAAGCCCTAAAATTATTTTTAAAAAATCCAATTTTATCTGTGAAAGAACTCAGTCTGGACCTATGCCTGGCCGTTTCTACTCAGCATGGCACAACTGATAAGGTCTGAACCAGAAAAAAACAAACTATTAAGAACTCTCCCAGTCTCACTCTTTGTAAGTTGTACTCTCTACATCAGGGGTAGGCAAACTTCAGCCCCACATCTGTGGTGAAACTACAACTCCTATCATGCCTCTGCCAGTCATGTGGCTGTCAGAGTCCTGCAATGCCCCATGGGATTTGAAGTTCTTCAACAGCTGGAGGACCAAAGCTTGGCTTCCCATGCTCAACATGATATGGGAAAGGAAGTGGGCACAGGCCTATATCAAGACTAAAGACCTAAAATGATGATCAGCAGATCCAAGAGCCAAAGGTTCTTTCAGTACACATGTAACTGTACCTTGTCTGGCCACAATCAGACTGGCCATACAATCTGGGACACTAGTGCCTGCCGCCAGGAAAGTGATGCCCATGATGACATCCGGTATGCCCAGGGTGTACCCGATAACCGTCACCTGAATGGAAAGAAATTAGAGGAGTACCATTCACAGACACATAGATATCTTGTGAGCTCATTTGTGAATTGAAAAAACCCAGGACAACATTTTAAAGGAGAAGATATTTCCCTGCACACAGTTGATTTTGTGCCAATATTCTAATATAAGGATATTTGGAGGTCATTTAAAAAGGTCATCTTGAAATACCGAACAACTCCAGTTGGGATCAATGAATCAATCAATACGTTATATGAGAGGGATCACATGCTCAAAACTCACCATCCAGACCATGAGGTAAGAGAAGATGGCAATCCATACTGTGGACAGAATGAATGTTAGCATGAAGAAGTTCTCCCAGCGCGGCCTGCTGCAGTTCGGGACGGTGAAGTACAAGGTGCAGATTAACGGCCAGGAAAACACCCACTTGAACTTGTTCACAAAGCCACCTATGAAACATAAAGCGTCAGATTGTCAGCTCTTCTGATCAGAGGAACATGCGCCTTTCTCTCTCTTCTAGCTGAGAAGAGAAGAGGAGAAGCACCACAAATATTCTGCCAGTGATATCTATCAAATGTACTTCCCACACTGTCTGTCAGGACCCAGGTCTGAACCTGCAACTTCTGCTGTGTCTGGCAACGTCTCTTCTTGCTGAGCCACTTGGAATGCTAAAGAGCTCTGTGGCCAATTCCTTGATCCTGCCTTGAACTGTGTTTCTCTTGAACATTGAACCCTCTTCTCCTTCCATGAACTTCTTATTAAAACCATGCCTTTGCACTTCCTGTTTGCCAGATTATTCTGTCCTTGTCAGTGGACAGGCTTGGAGTCCAGTAGATATAGCAGTAGAGAGACTCCCACCGACCAGCAGGATAAGATATGCAAGCAGGTCGCTCTGGTGGACGACACAGGCTCAGGTGTAGAATCTAAGTACTAACCAGTGTTCACCATAGCTTCTGATGGTGGAGATGGGTTTTTGTAGGTCATGGTCTTTAGGATTGCCCCACCAGAAGGTGAGCAAGCCGGGGTCCAGTAGCAGATATAGCAGGTAGGGATTAAGCAGAAGCGTAGTCCATAAACAAGCCATAGGTCGGTAACAAGTGTTTGCAGGTGGGGATCAAGCAGAAGTGCAGTCAATGAACAAGCCAAAGGTTGGTAACAAGTGGTAGCGGAGATACGGATGGCAGCAGGAGCGCCAAGATCGAGATACTGGCTGGAGAGAGCACAATGATCTGGCAAACAGGAAGTGCAAAGGCATGGCTAAAATGGGAAATTTACGGGAGAAGCAAAGGGTTCAAAGCTCGAGAAACAAGGTTCAAAGCAGGGTCATGCAAGGAATTGTCCAGAGAGCTGTCCAGCATTCCAGGTGGCTTAGCAAGAAGAGACATTGCCAGACACAGCAGAGGCTGCAGGTTTAGACCAGGATCCTGACCATTTGGAAACTCGATCAGTAGGGAGCCCCATGAGATGCCCCTGGTACCTTTTTCATAGGCTTTTTTGAGTTTGGGCAAGGACACAGGGGCCCCATGATCCCCTATTGCCCGGGGGCCCCATGAGTTGTCAGTCTGCCCCTGATCCTGACATTGTCCTTTCTAATTCTGAAAGCAGAGTTGTGATCTGGTTCATGCACAGTAATAATTAAGCACTGCCTCCTCAACTTTGCAATGAAAAATCATGAGACACGTCTGGTACAATGTGGGACTCAAAGCAGGCAGATCTCAATACTGGAACCTCGTGGGCAGAGTATTTGACACTCTGACCATTGCCTTTTAATACAGATAACATCAGGATCTTACTGGGCACTGAGAAGGGCACCAGGTAGTTTGTGGTGTCAGTGTCTTCTTGACATTCTTCCTTATCTCCATGCAGAAGACCATTTTCCAGGAGCTCTTGCTTGCCATCCAATGTCGTGGAACTCACACCATTAGCAGAGTGGAGGAGTCGCTGCCTCTGAAAAGATAAAAGTGGAGGCCAAGTAAATAAAAAAAATTTGGAAGGCCTGGAATGCTGACCGTTAGCCAGATATTTTCATCCAACACCAGTACAGGATCTCAAAAATGCTATTTTGGCTGGATAGTCACACATTACCACTGACCTATTCCAATGCATTGTAGAAAGCCTTTCCAGAAGAGTGGAGACTGTTATGAGGGTTCGAAAGGGGAAAGGGAGGAAGGCGCAATGCCATGGATTTGGAACAGAATGTCCAACAACTCATACAGGTGTGAAGGTCAGGGGTCTATAATCTTTTGGCCATTTAGTGCATATAAGCTATACCTCATTGATGATCAAGCGGCTTGCCATGCGTAGCCGTGTTCGTGGTGGGAATTTGTTGGTGATCATGATCCGTAACCCGGCTTCAGGAAAGCGATATTTGGGAGGGCTGGAACAGATGATCTCATCTACCATCACTACCGAATTTCGGCTGTAAAAACGTTGGTCTGTCTTTACTGTTTACCGGAAGAAAACATTCACATTCATTAGAAAGAGAAAACCGGTAAAAAGCCGGTAAGCCTTCATGACAACTTTATACAAAAAGAGCAATAATCAACATTTCTATAGACATGAAGGTGTCATGGGGCTTCAGAAATTAAAATGAAGGAGATAAAAATTAAATTTAAAAATGCCACAGAAGCCATCGTTGACCTAAAATAGAAGCCATTCTTGGCCTAAAATGGCTGATAGCTAGGTAATTCCTCTACCAAGAAGGAACTTTCACATATTTGTTGATGGAATGAAAGGCCAAATCAATCCAAGTTTGATATTTCATTGTGTTTTCTCCACCAAGCCTCTTATACCTCCAGGAACTCCAGTGGGGAAGACCTACTCAATGAAATTCTCAGCAATGCCCAACTGGCATGGCCATTTCAAAGATGGTGTCACCCAGTGGGTTCTCTATAATGTAGAATGGAAAAATATCTGTCATATCCAAATTCAAGAGACAGGCACCCTGGTTGTGGCCTTCTGAGACAGGTGTAGACAGAAACAGGGAAATATCGCCAAAGGAGCCTCTGAGAAGTAGAAGAGGTCTGCCATTGCCCCCTAAAGACTGTAACGATCAGTTTTCTGTGCAGTTGACCATTCATAAAATGTTTGCATGTAGCAGGTTTTAAGTTTCTGGTGCAAAAGTACTCAAAGGAAAGCAGAGTTAGTAGTCATGCAGGTTAAACAGCAGATATGAGCTTATAGGCAAGATTAAGCAGACAGGAGGAAAGAGTTGAAAAGTTAAGCTGGAAATTTGAAAGGAAATCTCATTTTTGGAGGTAAAATGGCACAAAAAGTCATGTGACAGCCCAGTGGCTTAGTGGTTAGTACCTCTGCCTTGCAGGCATGCTGATAGGTTAATGCAGATTGGCCCTAGTACTGTATGTGAGGTAGGGGCCTTAGATTGTAAGTTCCTTGAAGAAAGGGCCTATAACAAATCTTATACCACCTAATGTAATTCTTCTGTCTAGCACAGGGTTCTCCTATGAGGGCCAAATTGTATACTTTACAAATATTTGAGGGCCAAAATAAATCAAGTTGCTAAATGAAGGCATACACTTTAAATTAATGATTAAGTCCCCAGTTACGCTCAGGGGTGCCTAGCGGATGCCACTGCTTACACCCGTGTGTGCCCAACCTAGTCCTCCTATACATCCAGGAGTACCCAGCAGAGCCCCCCCCCCCCCCCCCCCCTTACATTCATGTGTGCCCAACAAAGTCCCCTCTTACATCCATGTGTGCCCAGTAGATTCCCCACTTACATTCTAGAGTGCCCAACAGAGCCCCCCCTCCCCCTTACATTCATGGGTGCCCAACAGGGTCCCCTCTAACATCCATGTGTGCCCAGCAGAGTTCCCCCTTACATCCAGGAGTGCCCAGCAGAGTTCCCCCTACATCCAGGAGTGCCCCGCATAATTCCCTTTACATCCAGGAGTGCCTGGCAGAGTCCCCTCTTACATTCAGGCGTGCCCAAGAGAGTCCCCCCTTACATCCATGTGTGCCTAGCAGAGTCCCCCCTTGCATCCATTTGTGCCTAGCAGAGTCCCCTCTTACATCCATGTGTGCCCAGCAGAGACCCCCTTACATCCATGCGTGCCCAGCAGAGTCCCCCCTTACATCCATGTGTGCCCAGCAGAGTCCCCCCTTACATCCATGTGTGCCCAGCAGAGTTCTTCCTTACATCCATATGTGCCTAGCAGAGTCCCCCCTTACATCCATGTGTGCCCAGAGAGAGAGTAAGCCAGAACGGGAATACATAGACATTAGAGATCATACAACTTAGAGGAATTTCAAACAAATTGCAACCTGGCGGTGTCCGATGGACCGAAACATGATATCCCAGAGGGGTTCTATTGGATTTAGGTCAGGTGAGCGTGGGGACCATTCATTGGTATCAATTCCTTCATCCTCCAAGAACTGCCTGCATACTCTCCCCACATGAGGTCGGGCATTGTCCTGCACCAGGAGGAACCCAGGACCCACTGCACCAGGAGGAACCCAGGACCCACTACACCAGTCTAGGGTCTTACAATGGGTCCAAGGATTTCATCCCGATACCTAATGGCAGTCAGGGTGCCATTGTCTAGCCTGTAGAGGTCTGTGCGTTCCTCCATGGATATGCCTCCCCAGACCATCACTGACCCACCACCAAAACGGTCATGCTGAACCATGTTACAGGCAGCAGAACGTTCTCCACGGCTTCTCCAGACCCTTTCATGTCTGTCACATGTGCTCAGGGGGAACCTGCTCTCATCTGTGAAAAGCACAGGGTGCCAGTGGTGGACCTGCCAATTCTGGTGTCCAATGGCAAATGCCAATCCAGCTCTATGGTGCCGGGCAGTGAGCACAGGGCCCACTAGAGGATGTCGGGCCCACTAGAGGATGTCAGGCCCTCAGGCCACCCTCATGAAGTCTGTTTCTGATTGGTCAGAGACATTCATACCAGTGGCCTGCTGGAGGTCAGTTTGTAGGGCTCTGGCAGGGCTCATCCTGTTCCTCCTTGCACAAAGGAGCAGATACTGGTCCTGCTGATGGGTTAAGGACCTTCTACGACCCTGTCCAGCTCTCCTAGAGGAACTGCCTGTCTCCTGGAATCTCCTCCATGCTCTAGAGACTGTGCTGGGAGACACAGCAAACCTTCTGGCAATGGTACGTATTGATGTGCCATCCTGGAGGAGTTGGACTGCCTGTGCAACCTCTGTAGGGTCCAGGTATGGCCTCATGCTTCCAGTAGTGACACTGACCCTAGCCCAATGCAAAACTAGAGAAAAACAGTCAGAAAAGATGAAAAAAATGTCAGTGGCCTCCACCAGGAAAAACTATTCCTGTTTTGGGGGTCGTCTCATTGTTGCCCATCTAGGGCACCTGTTGTTAATTTCCTTAACACCAAAGCAGCTGAAACTGATGAACAACCCCCTCTGCTACTTACCTGACCAGATCAATATCCCAGGAGTTTCATGGACCTGATGCCAGACTATTAAAAAGTCTTCCTTTCATTTTTTTGAGCCGTGTAAATTGAGGTCGTATGAGAATTAGGAAGTTCAAGTGTACCATGTGTAGAAAGAAGAAGGAGAATTCAGGTTTGGCCCTCTGTAGGACGAGGTGGGATCCTTCTGGAAGCTAAGTAAATGGCATTCCCTGTCTGCTCTTCCTAGTTCCCCTAGTCAGGGTTAGCATGGAGGACCAGATGAAAGTTGCCCATCACAGAGGTAATAATGAGAGCTGCCTCTGGAGTTTGTCAAGAGCGTGTAGGTCCTGAACGTGTAGGTCCAGCCGTTCTAAGGCCCCATGTACACGGGACACTTCTTAACGATGGAAACTGACTGCTAGAAATTGTAGGTTAAGAACGTCTGTTTAGACGTGTTTGCATAAAGCGTTTATGCGCGTTTATGTGCGTTTGCGTTTAGACGCGTTTTTTAAAGATAAGCACAGGAGAACCTCCCAGATGCACTGAAAAGTGGTAAATTATTAACTATTCCAGACTGTTTCAGAGAAATATAGAGAGTAGAAGCAGAGACAGCAGTATGTGATGAGCTAATTAGGTGTGAGTTGCTCATTAACATTTGTTTTGTTTCCAAGGGTGGGAGAGGTCTGAGGTGTGAATGGTCATTAACATATCTTTTGTTTCCAAGGGTGGGAGAGGTCTGAGGTGTGAACTGGTCATTCCAATGTGTGAGGAGCTTGGTAAGAACATCCTGTGTTCAGTGTTTTGTCCATTTGAGTACCTTGTAAACGCTTCACATGCATTTTTCATGATGAAAAAAGGCTCTGGACAGCATCGGGAACTGGAAGAGTTAAAAAAAAATTCAAACACAAATGCTTATAAACGCAATTTGCCGTATTTAGCCGCGTTTACAAGCATTTTGCGTTTGAAACGCTGATAAAAATCGACTGCTGAACGCACGTTTTCTGCGTTCAAAAAAATGACTAAACTCAACTGACTGTAAACAACATTAGGGAGAGTTCAGGGGCTGCTGAACATCTCCTAAACGTGAGTTTGTCAGCTGAAGTGTACATGGGGCTTCCGCTTATGATTGGCCCACTATCTTAATCATTTCTTGGTGGGATCATTCAGATGGGTTCAGGTTAGGATCTGAACATTCCTGAGTTCTTCCTGCTGGCCATCTCTTTCAACAATTTCCCTGCATGCTTTGCAGCTTCTCCTTTATGTTGAATTTCTAAGGAACAGGGCAGGACAAGGGGTGGGCAGGAAGGGCAGCTGCCATGGGTGCAGTGGTAGAGGGGGCACCCCTCATCGCATGTACTGGTTTGTGGTGCTCACATGCAGTGCAGTTCTACTCAGGGGCGGACTGACCATTTGGAAACTCGGGCACTGCCCGAGGGCCCGGGGTCAGTAGGGGGCCCCATGAGATTCCCCTGGTACCTTTTTCATAGGACTGGAAGGGGGGGAAAGTGTCCGGACTGGAAGGGGGGGGGGGGGGGAAGTGTCTGGACTGGAAGGGGAGGAAACTGTCCGGACTGGAAGGGGGGGGGGAAGTGTCCAGACTGGAAGGGGGTGAAAGCGTCCGGACTGGAAGGGGGGGAAAGCGTCCGGACTGGAAGGGGGTGAAAGCGTCCGGACTGGAAGGGGGTGAAAGTGTCCGGACTGGAAGGGGGTGAAAGTGTCCGGACTGGAAGGGGGGGAAAGTGTCCGGACTGGAAGGGGGTGAAAGTGTCCGGACTGGAAGGCGGGGAAAGTGTCCGGACTGGAAGGGGGGGAAAGTGTCCGGACTGGAAGGGGGGGAAAGTGTCCGGACTGGAAGGGAGGGAAAGTGTCCGGACTGGAAGGGGGGGAAAGTGTCCGGACTGGAAAGGGGGGGGAAAGTGTCTGGACTGGAAGGGGGGGGAAAGTGTCCGGAGTGGAAGGGGTGAAAGTTTCCGGACTGGAAGGGGTGAAAGTGTCCGGACTGGAAGGGGGTGAAAGCGTCCGGACTGGAAGGGGGTGAAAGTGTCCGGACTGGAAGGG